TGCCGAGACTAGGATTCATCTCACTTCACTGTAGACATCAGCACTGTAGACACATATGGTCGGACCTGTCACCCCAAGCTCCCTTTGCAGTCAATACGGGGAACAGGCACTTGTAGGCCATGATTCATCTGACCTATTTACATGTCTGCTGTAGGAGGAGATGAATCACTGCCTAGACTAGATCTGTGCGGAGGATAAAGGGAGCCGAAGATGCCCAGCTCAGATGCAGATGCTTATACAAATCTACAGTTTGAATTTAGACTTGCAGTTTGGAACAACAATTTTTCAGAGAAGAGTTAAATTATCTAAGCTACCTTTTTCTAGCAGAATGTGTGTACGAATATATATATGGGTTTTTTCTTCCTGCAACAGAAACATTTGCAACAATATCATTTGAATACTGGCCCCATATCCCCTTCTCCAAATGTTCTGCCATCTGAAGAGCTGCCATTTTATCTCTCTCTGCCTCTGCCCGTCTTTCACACATACAGACGTGTGTACACACGCCACGTTTTAGAGCTGGGCCTTCTGAATTTTCAGCATTAACTCAAAATATACTCCTCTGTGTGTGGTAGCCAGAGCTGTTACACACAGACAGATAGATTATCTGGTTTTGTTTTTAAAAAAAAAACCCAAAGCAAAATATGAAAACAAAACCACAAAACGAACATTTCTGAAATTTGCTCCTGCTTAAAAATATATAATTTTTTATTCATCTTTTCTACTAGAATCTGCTCTACTCTGCCTGCAGCTTTAGTGAGGCAGGGCATCGTAGGAACATTAGTGTCTGGGAGACAAGTAATGATGCAGAAGGAGGGGGAAGACAGAACTGATCATCTAAGAAAGGGTGCAAGTTCCTGAGTGAAGCTCTGAGAAGACAAGAAAGAGGCAATGTTGTATTATTATGTATAGAAGATCAGAGTTGAAAGAGTCTGGTTCATGGGGAGTGAGGATGATATCCTCACAGGTACGCTTCTACGCATGCTGTAGTATAATGTCCCAGTGCACCTGAACACCCATCTAGACTGCAAACCGCACGAGGGTAATACATTAAAAAAGGAAGAAAAGAAGTCACCCTGTTGCAGAGCTTTACAATGCTCAGCTGCTGCCGAGGATTGCTTGGTGTAGCTACAGCAGTGGTAGGCAAAATATCCCTCCCGTCCAGCCGTTGGCACGCAGCACAGCAACCCATCTATGTGAGCACCTGGCTGATCTGTTTGCTTGTGACAGATCTTGGCACACCCTCTCCTCTGGCTCTAAAGCTTTACTGACTCTTGTGTTTTGCAGGATTTTTTTCCCCACAAACTCTTGTCTGGCATGGGAGGACTTGGAACAGAGCAGTACTGGCTCTGGCAACAACAGGAAACTGCATTTTGGATAACCCTTTACGGCGCAAGCTTTCCAGCCATTTAAGGGCTTTTTTGTGGGGATTGGAAGGAATGACTGTCCATCATCCAGAGTCCATTGTGGTCAGCAGGA